CTTCCTTGGGTGCCAGCCTAGCCAGAAGCAGTAGAGAAAGAAAGAAGCCTGCAAGTTAGCCTGTTGCTGAGATGAATTATCTGACAAGCTGTGAGAGGGGGAGCATGTAAAAGGCGGATGGGTGGAAAGCAGAAATGACATGTAACCAGTCACTGCCTGCCTGCACTCATCACCAGGGGAGAGCCTGCTGACCAAGAACTGGCACGCAGCAGGGACTGTGCTGATGGACCAGCAAGGGAAGCGGCCGTCTCCACATACTGCAGCTTTGCATGCTCACTTCCCTTGTCAGCCCCTTCTCTTAGCTGGTGGATGGGCGGGTGGTGAACAAGGATCTGGCCAGCAGTAGGACCCACCAGCACTGATAGGAGGGGAGAGACAGAACATATGGGGCAATCTACCATTTAAAAAAAAAAGTAAGGACACCTTAACTATGCGCTGTCTCTTTAAAAATGGGACATCTGGTCTCTTGTGGCTTTTCCAGATACAGAAAATCCAGGATGATCCTTTAGTAGAGGTTTTATTGATTTCTTGCAATGAAGATTAGTTCTGGATAAAATGGGTATAATATAATTTATTTGCCTTTGTCAGTTGGCAAATATGCCTTATGCAGAAAAGCATAGTTTCCTATGTTACTAACAAGGGTTCTAGGACACCTGAAATGCCCAGTCTATGCCTGGTTTGCTTGTCTAGATAATGTTTTATTTGCACTTCTTTAGTGCACAAACAGAAGATCCTAACTACTAGGCACTGTAAATATATCAAATGAATTCTTTCCTTTGCAGGAACAAACTAGAACTGCATTAACATTATAATGCGTATAAAATACTAGGCAGCCTTTCCCCAGAGTTCCTTGCACTCCTGAACGGCTGCTGCTCATAAGAGATGCACTTTCACAGCACTGATGGATCCAATTTTCCAGGAAGATGTGAAACTCTATCAGTGTTTCCTCAGTATAGATGGTACCAGAGTCTGCTCATTAAATGATTTAATACATGGTTAAGGCTTTTATGTATGAGCTTTTTTCTTTACTAAGGGGACCAGTTACATAAAATGCTAAGGACCTCTTGAGAGGTGCTGACCACTCTCAATTCCCATCCAAAAGTGGATAGCATGATTGGACCTTGTGTTTAACTACAGCAAGGACAATACCTCATTTCCCTTATGTTTTTGACTTCATCATTGCCTGACCTATTAAACATCAACATTTTGTGTATTACAGCTGACATACAGTGTTCTCATCTGCATCCTGGAGGCATTGCCTAGCATGTGCATCTTGTTATTCCTTTGCAATCAGATCAAGTCATTCTACAGAAGTTAAATGACTTCCTTGTCTGATTCTTCAAGCTAATCTCCCTATTTGCAGAGTCCCACGGGGAGTTAGTCACATAATTCCCATTAAAGTTCTTGGTAGTGTTGAGTAAGTGTGGCTGTGTAGTAGGGATGTAATAGTGTAGTCAATAAGCAAAACCGTATAGGTTAATGCTATAGACTACACTAATTTCTCCCTTCTTCCCCCCACCTGCCCTTGCCAGTACATTTTTTAGCAGGCTGGTCAGCTGCCTGGCTCAGTCCTTGCTTGTGATGGGTCTGGGATCTACCTTCACTGCAGCTCTGCATTTAAAGTGTATTAGCAGCTCTGCATTTAAAGTATATTAGCAGCCAGCCAGGCAAGCAGCCCGGCTCAGTTCTGGCTTATGTAGAGTCCGGAAGCTCAGACCCAACCTATATAGGGGCTACTGCCACCCCTTGCTGCTATCTCTGTATCAGAGGCAGCAGCACAGGGTGACAGGCAGCTGGTCCATGAGGGGAGCTGGTTTTTAAATTGGCTTCCCTTGTGGACCAGCTCCTACCTGGCAGCCCGCACTGCTGCCTCTTGATACAGAGGCAGCAGCAGGCTCCTCGGGGTGGGGACGGAGCGCACTGGCGCTGGCCCCACCCTGGGACTATAGAATAGTCGACTAAGAATTTATCAGGTTACTCGACTATTTAATTATTTAACATCCCTACTGTGTAGCTCTCAAGATTTTTAATTTGAATTGAGGACACAATCTGTGTCTGTAGGTACCTGTGGTTAGTTCCTAGAAAAGCATTGAGCTCAAATGTGTTGCTTTTTTAAAAAAGAACTGAAAGAAAATTTTACTTAGGCTCAGAAACTGACTCATCTCTATGAACATGCTATGTGTGTGTATACGTGTGTAAAAATGCACGAGAGAAATTCTTATCAGCACAAATATTGTATGGCCATGTATGTTTGGAAACATTGGCTTGTTGTAACTAGTTCTGTGGGAGGGGGTTTCTTCCAGCTGTGAACTTTCTCCCTTGTTCACCCAAAGGGCGTTATCTCATGTTTTGATTATCTGGCAGAAGACCACCCCTGCCTGGGTCTCCCAGGAGGTTTATGGTTGACATAACTACCATCTGCTACAAGAAGGAAGCACTGCCAACTTGCCTCTCCTATAAAAGATGTGTCAGTGGAGAGAGAACAAATGGCTTAAGAACTTGTTTTATAGTAAAGGGCTAGGTTGTAATGCAGAAATGGGGCTGAGAGGGTAGAAATTGGGAAGCGTCTGAGGTAAGGTACTTGGAAAGGTCATCCTTTTTGTAATTTTCTTGGGTCAATAAGTACACTTTTTTCGTGTGGGTATTGGAATTAGCGATGAACTAATTGGCTGAAATATTTAACTGCTGAGATAGCCCTAGCTAAAGTTACACATTGTTCAGGTTATTTTTGTGCCGCTGCTTTTGTTGAGATGAAGGGAGACAGAGAAGGTACTTTCTGTAGGAACTAGGAATGTAAAAAGTTGTTTAAAAATGTAACCGTGTAGCTATTTAAAAATCCTAGTGGTTACACGTGCTGCAGGGTCTGCAGTGTGACGCTTATGTAACGGCTTTATACTGCAGAGCCCACAAAGAAGTTGGCTTCCTGGGAGCGGGGCCAGCAAGGGCTGCCAGCCAGCTGCCAGGGGGGCTCTGCTTCTGGAGAGCCAGCATGTAACCTGTGGCGAAGGTGGGGGGAAGCTGGGCTGGGCCACCACAGGCACAGGCTGCTCTGGCCAGCCAGCAGGAACAGCGCCTGCCTGTGTGGGCCCCTCCAGGCTGGAGCAGCCTACTGCCTGGGGTGGGCGAGGAGCTGCTCCAACCCTTACCAGCTAACTGGACTCCTGATGGTTTTTTTTACAACATTGCTTATTTCACAGTTGGCTTCTTGGACTCATCAGCTTCAACCAAAAGAAAGCAACTGTGAAATGACTTTCATCCAAGCAATTGTTCTAAAAAGAACAGCATGTTGGCCCTGTGAAGAGCTCCTGTAGCAATACAGTGAGGATTGGAATTTGGGTTGCATCTTGGCCTTTTATTTGCCAAACTGGAAATGTCTTAAAATGCCATAGATTCATTTTCTTGATGGGGCAGGAAAGAGGATGCTTCGGTTGCTACTCTGGCAACTTGTCCTCTTCCTTGCCTAGACCCATCTTCCCACCCCGGCCAACCCCAAAAGAGCATGACTGAATCTGGAGGGAGCTAATTTTCTTGTCTAGAATGACAGATCACCTCATTGTAGGGCTTTTTGAAAGAAAGGGTGGAAATTGGTGATTTTAGAGAAGCCTGCATTCTGAACAAACTTAATGACATCCAAAAGGATCTCAAGTGTATGGGTTTACATAGGCCCACTATATACATTAGGAACCATATCACTGATATAATTCAGTAGGGTGGAAAGCAGCAGCTGTTGAACAGTGCACAGCAGTACTGCACAACAGTTTAGGATATGTAGGGAAGTGTTTGAAAGTGTATGTGTGTTGGTTTCACTTCTTGTTCCAGGAAGAACTACTGATGATTGGCTCTGACTAACAATTGTACAGTATGAAAATATTATTACAGGGTTTAAACCCACTCACTAGTTTACCTACTGCTGCCACTTTTCTCTGTCAGTTCCACTTTTTGTTAAACTGGTCTGTTTTCCAAACACTGGCAGAAGAGAAGACAATAGAAAGGGATAAAGGATGATGAGTTGATAAATGTATCATGAGACTCTAACTGACTCTATTCTGTGCAGTGTGTTGAGCAGTGCATATATTTTCCATATACACTAGAGACGTTAACCAGTGATCCTCATCCTTAATGGGTAAGGCTTACCCCACTTACCTGGTCTGGTGTCAGGCAAGATGTCAGAGCCCCAGCACTGCCAGTCACTCTTTTGGTGGTATAGCTGCCCCTAGTGGTCACTCTGCAGTATAACTCTCCCCTGCAGGCTTGCTGCCACCAGTGGCCACTGAGAGTATTGTGTCCTTCCAAACAGCCCCTCCCATTCCGTCTTACGAACAACAGTCCCATTGTCAGCAGTTCCAGTTTTCCTGGCACAACCAAACCCTGGCTCTGCTTGGCGGCTCCCCAGAAACCTCACACCACTCCTTGGAGCCCTGGATCCTGGTTGAGTGCCACCGCTTTATAGCCTGTTTTTTAACTTTGCTAAGCCTTCTGTGCTGCAACTGAGATTTTGAATAGGATAATTAACTGCAAAGGGGGTTTTAACCATGGAAAACAATAGTTAGAAGCTCACACACAGGTTCACGGTCTGCAGTACTCCACATCTTGTTCCAGTAAAGAAAGGAAGCAGCTTTATAAAGTGCTGCTGATCTTACTTTGGTTGTGAATAGATGAGATGTGAGAGCCTTTCGTGTTTTTCTTTTTCCTTTTAACAGCAGTTTTGTTATTGTACTGCTGCCCCATCTCTGCTACATATGGCTTTTGAAATGTAAATCCTATCATGTCCTCAGTGACACCCTCAGCACTGTTTCTCTTTGCACTTCAAAGAGCTGTGTGGTCACACTTTGCATCTCAGCAAAATAATAATATTTGCCTTCTAAAGATTTCCTTTAATGTGTACAATCAATCCCTAATAATGTATTTTGGATTTGTTTTTTTTGCTTCCCAGAGTCTATTAATTTTAATGTTGCTACAGGTCATCAGGAAACATAATCTCTTCTTTTTTAATTTCACAGTGAATGTGTCTAAGGGGAGAGAGACGCACAAGAGAGATAAAACAATTGAACATCACAAGTGGCTCAATCCTGAAAAAATGATGCTGGATGAACAGTGGATTAGAACTAAATCTTAAAAGGGAAATAATATCTTAGTGTAACAATTGTCTTCACTTTCAAATTCATCATGGCCAAAATCCTCTGGCTGGACGGCTGAAGTGATTGTCGCACGTTTGCTGTCTGCGCTCAGTGCATATCCCTTGTGCCTACGGCTCAAAGAACCTGGGAGCAGGTGGGAATTGGATGATGCCAAATGCTGGAATGGGGAGAGAAATGGACTGTGACAAGCTAAGATGGAAGTGACTTGACAGCTTCAAGCCCAGCAGTTGCCTCTAGTAAAGGACAGGTTAAGATTGGAATCACAAGCTTCGCTGGGAGAGCAGTATGCAGGAAGCTGGTTTTCAGGCCACAAATGCTTTCACGGGTAAGGACCTTTGTCACTATCATTAAACTAATAATTTCTGGGCAGTTTTCTGTTGTTTGGGAAAATAGGTGGCATACCTATTTATCAGTAGACAGCGCATGTAGTGTCTGTCCTTTGTGAACATTACATTCACAGGAACAAATAATTCAACTTCTACAAGTAACAGAGCCTAACTCAGCTTTTGGATGAGTTATTTCAAGTTCTCTGAAATTGATGGCTACATGCCTTTGGAAGGGAGCTCCCAAACTTTGGCTTCAAGTGTTTGACTGACAACTTGCCTTTGGTAGGAGACACCACCTAAATTGTATAAAATGTAGCAGATTGCAACTACTCTTATTTTTAATGTGGAACGAGACCTGGATAGACTACGGGTCACAACATACAGTGTCCTGTCTTGTCTCAAGCAGAGATGCAGCATATTGAATTCTGTGGTCTCTGTAGGCTGTATCTCTGTAGACAAGTGGTGTCCACGAGCTGAATTTGCCGTGCTGGTTCACCTTTATTTGCCTGTAGGTGTGTTGGAAACTACATAAGAAAGCAAATAAGGCTGTACTTTCTGCTCAAGAATTCTTCTAGTGAAAATTCTATTAGTGATTGAATTCTAATCTTTCCATGTGTCTCTTGATTTCTGTGGAGGGAGCAGGGCAGTAGAACTTGTTGCTTTGTTCCCAAGCCAATGGCCAACTAAGAACCAGTAGAAACTGTCTGAAAATGCTACTGGAATTTGTCTCTTTAGAAGAATATAGGTAATGATCTAGTAACACAGCACAAATTAAGTAGAGGTTGTGTTACCTGAATTTTTTCATTTTTAAATCAGGAGACGAATTAATGGATTTTTTATTTTAAACTACATATACCCAGCAAAGAATAATGTCACTGTTTCAGAGCTACTTTCAGCAATGGACTGGGCTGGTAGCTGTCGACAGGATAGAACAGCAATTCCAGGAACAGAATCCCAATTTCATTTTCAGGTGGCAGCTTCCTCAGCACACACATATTTGATGCTCTTTTTGCCATAATTTGAAAGTAACTCTAAATCCAATGATTTTTATATTGAAGAAATATAACTAGTGAATTAGGGCTTATAGCAGGGATGGGCAATCATTTTAGCCAGGGGGCCACTTCAGAAATTTTTGAAGTGGCCCTGGGCCACCTGAAAGGGGCGGGGCCTTGGGTGGAAGGGTGGAACCTTGGGAAGAAGAAGTGGGACGAGGACACTTCTTGCTTCCCCACCCACAGACCCTGATTGGCCTGGGGGTGGGGGGAGTGCATGAAGTCTTTGTTCCCACCCCACCCCCCAGAGAGAACCGCCAGCTATTCAGAACAGCATGCGGTTTCCTGTAGGTGCCTGCACCCCTGGCGGTGGGATGAGACTTCACGTGCTCCCCTCCACCCCCAGGTTAATCACGGCCTGAGGGTGGGAGGAAGAGGGTAGAGTCTCTTCCCTCCCTTCCCCCATCCTGCAAGGGGTGCGCAGCATTTAGAGTCAACCGCCAGGGAGTGAGAGACTTTGCATGCTATCTCCACCCCCAAGCCAATCAGGGTCTGGGGCTGGAGGGTGTGTGAAGTCTTCTCTCCCACCAGTGTCGCTTGGCGCTTAGAGTCATTCCTGGCGGTTGACTCTAAGCGCCGCGCACCACTGGCGGGGGAGGAGACGCACTCCCTTCCGCCCCCTCGTCCTCAGGCCCTGATTGGCTTGGGGGTAGGGGAGCGGCAGGATGTCCACAGGCTGGATAAACCCACTTGGCAGGCCTGATCCAGCCCACGGAGGTCGTTTTGCCCACCCCTGGGTTATAACTTGCTGTAAATGAGGTTATGTTGTCATGTAGAGGGTGTGCAGTATTCACTCTGTCTTATAAGGGATTACCCCTTCTTTCTCAAACTAAAACATTATACTCTCAGGGAGTTACCTTTGCATAAAGACATTAGGGGACCGTTCCATAGTGAAGAGTTACAAAGTGGGCTGTGCCCACAAAAGCTCATGATACCATCTACATGTTTTGTTAGTCTTTAAAGTGCTACCAAACTATTTGTTCTTTTTAAGTTTTTCCTGTTACAGACTAACTCGGCTACCCCTCTGAAGCTTTTAAAACGTTGAAATAAGTTTATAGGCATATATACACAAACCATACGTTCAAGTGACATGTAAAGGAACCAGACTGAAAACTAATCCCTTTATGTAATGACCAGGAGAAAAATATGTTTTCTTGAATCTTGTTTCAAATTACTGTCTGCATTTGCTTTCTTGAGAGTATTTGTCTCTTCTTTGAGTGCTTGCTCATCTCAGTTCCATGCTAGCTGTGTGCACGCCCACATTCACAGTCATCAGAACTTTTTGCCTTCGTGATATCATATGCTAATATGTTGGGGGCCACTGACCCTACACTCTCTCAGTTCCTTCTTACTGCTCAGGATGTTTGATTGGAGTGCCTGTCTTGCACTGCATGAGTGTTAGTAGTTCTTCATAGTCCATTGTCTATCTTCTTTCTATATAATATGCAGGTGCTTAGCCATTAAGTGAAGTGTTAGGTTAGTTTGGTAGATACAGTCCCATCTGGAATTTCACCCCAGAGCAGGGCAGGCCCTGTTTTCTTGGCTTCAAACCATGCCCGGTGCCTATTAATGACCCTCCCCAAACAGCTGTTTGAGGTGCTTGGAGGAATCCCATAGAAAGGACAAGTGTAGAATCTATAAAATCTTTTGCCTTAGAACCTAAAAGGAGCAACATATCTGCTTCAGGGCCTTCCTCAAGGAGGCTGCGCTTAGTCCTGCATCAGAGTCCTCCCACTTGGACCCCACACCTAGCACTTGGGCATTGGTGCAGGGCATTGGGCATTTCCTCCACTAAGAAGCAGCAAAGGACGAAGAGGCCCCCTACTCCCTGTCACCAGAGGGGAAAGGGGCTTTAGGCAATGTGCCTATGTCAGGCTAGGTGCCTGCTCCAGGTCTTCATGGAGTACCGCTGCAGGGCTTCAGACCCCCTCCCCCAGCCAAAGATCTGCTTCCAATTCTTGGATGTAGCGGGGGACCCCAGCTTCTCCTAGAGCCCCTGTTGCCCAAAGAGCCCTCAGTGGCTAAAGAACAAGCACGCCAACTGGCCCCGCAAATGCTGTACCAGTTCCAGACCCAGCTAAGAGGTGCCCAACAGCCAAGGTCAAGCTGGTCCTAGGACCTCCCCATGGGGCAGTGGAGCATGCTTGTTCCCTGCACCGCAGACGTAGATCCCCATTTCTGTGGCCTAGGAACCCGGCACTGCACCCTCAGTCTCTGGGCAGAAGGCTCAGGTCCCTGGAGTGGAAGCATTGATCCCTGTCCTCCCAATGAGCTTCCCACCAAAGATCACTGCAGCACAAGTCACCTTCGCCTAGACAGTCTCCCAGACGTTGGTCCTGACCAGGGCGGGATTGCTCCCTATTGTGGCACTGATTTCCACCTCCCTGGCACTGCTCATTAGGCAGGCACCGATTCTTGGCCTCATCTCACTGGTCAGAATCATTTGGCAGATTCAGGCCTCTACAGGTCACCAGAAAGGCAACTGCCTAGACTGGACCCGGACTTCAGCCCTCGCTTTGGAGATTCGCTGCCAACCCATGACACTGGTATTGCATTTGCAGCAGGTACAGTGCCTTTCTCGGTGGCTGTACTGGAACCCATCAGGCGTGCCTGTAATACTCCCACCTTACTGCCTTGGACAAACCATCAATAGCATTTCTGACACCAAAGTCAGAACACGATATTGAATCCAAATGCAGGGGCAGTGCAGCTTGTTCCAACAGCTAAGAAGTTATCCCAAGAGAGGGAAGAGGGACCTGTCTTGCCCCTGGCTGGGCATTTGTCATTTCCAGATGAAGTGGTGGCATGTCTCTTCTAGACAGGCAGTCCCCTAACAACTTCAAGGAACATCAGACCCTCCTTAAAAGGGTGACTGCCAATTTTAAGTTAAGAATTGAGGAGTTTGCAGAGGAGTCCGGTGAGCTCTTTAACATTATACTCTCCTCCACCAACCCAGGGTTGTGCTGCCCATCCAGCTTGCAATTTTGCGTGTCTAGTCCCCAGCCCACGTTAAGCAGATACTGTTTTAATCTAAAAAACTCCTTAGTCAATTCAAGAGGCCCTCTCACAGAACCAGCCCAGCAGTTTGCTCCTTTAGTGAAAGAAGGCACTGTAGTGGCGAGAATGGCTTTGCAGATGGCGTGAGAAGCCATGGACTCAGCGGCCAGGGTAGTCATCTCAGCCATGACCATGAAGTGCAGCTCCTGGTTGCAGTCGTCTAGGTTATCCCAGGAGATGCCTTCAGGACCTCCTGTTTGAGGGAGAATGGCTTGTCTCCGAGCTCATGGACACAAAGCTCTATAACCTTAAAGAGTGCCATGCCATCCTCCACTCTTTGGCTTTCATACCCTTCAGCATGCCAGGAAACCATTCCATCCTCTGCCTCCCCAGTCTAGGACCTGGGGGCAACCCCAGCTGAGCACCTGCAGGAGAAAGACAAGGTGTCTTAGTGGAAACACCCATCATCTTCCTGTTCATCTGCTCAGCCTGGTCATTGAAGGAGCCAAAGAAAGTAGAAGCAGGCATTTTTTGAGCCCCAGTCACTTCCCAGGATCCACCCTTCCTCACTTTCCTGAATTGCCTGCGTCTGTTCTAGTTAGACTGGTCACGACTGACCTTGAACCATTGGGTACTTAATGTAATATCTTCAGTATCTGCTCAAAGAATTTCTTCTTGGGTCACTGCCTGCGTTTGCTGTTGCTACAATCAGGCAAAAGAGCTCCTATGATAATCATAACTGCGGCAAATCTCTTCAGACGCTTTCCTAGCTCAAGAGCCTATGCAGGAATGTACTCTGAGCCCACCTCCAAGGATACTGCTTGTGAGTCACCTAGAGTAGAATCGGCATGAGCAAGCACTGAAAGAGGAAAAAATGGTTACCTACCTTTTCATAATTGTTCTTCTTCGAGATGTGTTCCTCTTCTACATGCCATTACTGCCTTCCTATC